CTCAAAACCATGCGGATGTGGTGAGAAGCGTCAGTAATTTGACCTTTAGTCGGTTAATGCATCATTAATTTCCTTCACGATATCCTACAATCTATTCATTTTGCCATTTCTCTGCCCGCGCGTTCTTGTCAGATGTACAATTAGCAACAAACCCATACTTTTGAGAACTTCCTATCCCATGTCACTCGTCTGTCCCTTGAGCCAAGCATTTCTAGAGACACTTTCAACAAACAGCCGATGAGTCCTGTCAACAACCGCGTGAACACATGAGCACACAATCTTTACAACAGCCAGATCCTGATAGTAGATCATATTTAAATGTACATCTTGCACCAACAGAAGAAGGTATACAGATTTATTTGAAAACAATTTTTATTCCCCCCCCCTCAGCTTCCATTCTGCACCAGTTCGTCCATCGTCTTGGAAATAAGGCTTGACGCCGATTCTTGGACATGAGAAAAAAATCACAAATTGCCTACTCTGAGACTAAATAATCTGCGGCCAGCAATTTATTGCTTTTTTAAGAAATGCTACTTTTTAGTAAGACTAAAGCATAAATAGTGTCAAGCAGTGACTGTTTAAGCCTATATGGCCCTTCAGACAAGTGATTTCTATCGGCAATCCTCGCACTTCTAATAATGATTGACTTTAAGCATTCAAGCTCAGTTTGGCAACTATGGTCAGAAAGAAAATGCAGACTAGAGCCTGTAAATGCTAGTCTCATATACACATCTCCGTCCACCTTACCTCCTTTCCCATTAATCAGAACGCTCGAAAAGGTAAGCTTTTATTTTATTACAGCTCCATGTTGATTAAGTGAAAGTAGGAAACTATCGCATCTTTCCTCACCATCCTGCCAAACGACAAAAAATTCATGCAAACGCCTGAAAAACAACTTAAGGGTCATTATTTCCTCTTGCATTAAACTTTTCTATAATTTCGCCATGAAAGTATTTACGAAAATAGGCGCTGATTTACGTGCCTATTCCCAAAATTTATCATCATAGTTAAAGTAAACCTTACTCATTAGTAATTAAATATGTCTTAGAACGGAGGCCATGCCTAAACTTATTCCATATAGAGTGTGCGTCGTCTATGAATGGCTACCAGAAGAGGAATGTTGATGTACATTAAGGTCACACCAAAACCTACAAATACCTATTCATAAAAATTTCTTTTCCGATGAATCGCATTAAAAATGCATAACTCTTCAAAACTCAGCTAAATTTCTTGATCGTGTGCTTATAAAACTTTATACAGTCTTATTATTTTACCTTATTTGCACAACTTTGGGAAGACTCAAGCGATGGACGGTCCAGAATTCCTTTAAACAAATGAATCCATTTTGCCATGACTTAGGCCCAGCTTCCGATACTCATTTCGCCTGTTCTGGGGTCTTCTATTTAAGACTTGCCATTTGATTGAACTAAAAATTTGATGGCTTTAATAAAAATCGGATCTCTGGAACACAAGTGGT